TTCCTACCTTGAAGACCCCTCCTGATGCAGCAGCAGGAAGTTTCTGAAATAAATACATTTTGGATTTATTATGTGTTTACCTACATAGGCCATTGTAGAGGAGCTTCTGAATGTATAAGTAAACATGATTTATCCAGAAAGATGCACAAAAATATGCTAGTATGGTTATCATTTCTTCCAGGAAGGTGCTCTCCATGGCTGATAATGTGTAATATTTTTATTTTTAAATGATATGCTATATAAGGCTATTGCCTGTTCAAAAAAAAAAAACTAAATTAATTCTAAACTAAGGGGGAAAAAACCCTGAAGCCAGAAGATAATAATAAACTAAATGACTGATCTATAGGAAAGATTTAGACATTAGAGAGAACTGGCTGGAAATGCAGCTGCTATAATTGGCATTGAAGTGATGGGTAATGGGCATGCGTTCATCCCAAGGTGATGCTCTCAGGCGTCTGTTATCTAATTCTGAAAAAGAATGCCTTGAGCAGTGGTAAAATTACTCTGGAAAACAAACTGAAAGAATTTCACATGTGGAATTACCTAAATTGGGAGCTAAATAGATTTTAGAGACAGAAAAGATCAAAGATCACAAACTGGCAGACCCATGGGCCAGATGCCTGTGTATATTGTATTTGGCCTGAATTCTGTTTTTAAATTTTGTATAAGTTACTTGCTAACATGTTAAGATAATTTCGCATAAAAAAAATTAGTTATCTAGCATCTTTTGAAAGTTTGGGAGCTCTGGAAGATAAAGCCTGCAGATTCTGGCATGGCATCATTGCAACTGTGCCCTTTATACAGAGGCTGAGGGATCCCCAGTTTGTCACAGGTCCCACCATCAACTCTTTCTAATTTTATCACCTGCTGAGTCCACCTAAGCATCTCAGGTGAGGAAAGTAATGCTCAGAGCAAACACTGGGAGCCCATGTATCCCTATTCCTGTCCACCAAGTCTTAGCCTTTGATAAACAGACTTCGGAAACCAAGAGCCAGACAATACTCTATAATCTTGATTATCAAGAATTCCTCACTCTAAATCCCACACCACTACCCCAATCCAGTGCTTTGTTCCAACACTCACAATTGGGAAATCAGCTTTTTTTTTTTTTTCCTCCCCTAAGATTTGTACAAAGCTCACCCAGAATTGGAGGGACTCTACTTATCCTGGACTTTGGAATCACCCCACATCTTTGCTGTTGCTGTCCAGTTACAGTGAGAGGCCCAGCAACACTCCTGTCTTCTCCCAAGTTTGCCACAGAGCCAGAACCTGCCTTTGCCATGGCCTCATCCCAAGACCGGGCAGCTGCTGCTGAAAACCACTGACTGCCACATTGTGACTGGTGCTGATGCTCCCCATGAACCCTTTCCTGCAGATCCCTGCAATCCACACCTTTTTAAGTTGCTGTTCTCTGATGCTGCACCTCACAGAGACACCGAACCACTTTCCCCGTCATGCTCACTCTGATGCTACTCTCACCCACAGCTGCCCAGGAACCTCTCTGTTCTCCACTCCTGAAGCCAATGTTACTAAATCCCCAGAAGTGTGTTCCTCTGAGTTCTTCCCCAGGGAAGTGTGACCTCATTGTCTGGAGTGACAGCTCCCCCTGTTGAAGGATTGGTACCAAATCTTACAGGTTTTGTGAAGACCATTAGTTTTTAGGATGTAAGAGAATACATCTCAAACTAGCTTAAGATAGTAAATATAAATATAAATAAACATATACTTATGCATATACTGATGGAGTTAAAACATGTCATCCCAAAAATATAACTGGAACATTGAATATTTTAAGTTAAAGACAAAAAACAGGTGCAAGAAGGTCCCTCTGCTTTTCTGTTTCTTAAAAGCAGGAGATGAAATTTGCACAAGAAAGATACCCTCCCTGTAGCAGAGGTATATTGGCATTGTTATCATCATGGATGGGGCGCTGAAGTGGAAGGAAATATGTACAAACAAGCCTTGTTAAAAACAACCCTTCTTTTTCTTGTCACTTCTCTACCCAGTTAACCACCCTAGCCTAAACCCCTTTACTTGATCACACTTTCATAAGTTGCTGTGCTGTAGTCAATTCAGTATCAAGATTACTTCAAAGAGTTCATGGAAAAATGAATGAAAAGATGTGCAAATATGGCTGAAATCCATGCCTAGTTTTTTTCATATTTTCCATGAACTTTTTGAGGCTACCTTGTATAAGGGTTCCACCAACTCTAATTGCATCTTTACACCTTCATTTCCTGTGAAATCTCCTGTGCCACATAAAACTTGTATTTAATATAGATGTGTGCACTTTTCTCCTGTTGATCTTTCTTTCATCAATTTCATTCTCAGGTTCAGCCAAAGATCTCTGAGATGGTCAAAGTAAAGTTTTGCCTCCCTTTCCTTGGCAAGTATAATGGAGGAGATAGCTTTAGCCACAATCGTTGACTCCTTTTTCTCTATTTCCTGCCTTTGTTTTTTCAAACTCTTGCTTCTCTTCCTAACTCTTCCACTGACGGAGATAGGTTCTGTCTAGGACACATCCTCATGGCCTTGGAATGGAGGAAGAGTTTCTTAGTTCATTGATAAAAATCTCAGAGGAAGATTCTGATTGACTGTAGTTGAGCCACTTGTTCATCCTTGAACCAATCTCTATAGCCAGAGGTGGAAGGGTTCTAGGATTGGCAGCCCCAGGAGGACCAAAAGGAGCAGAGAAGATAAGATCTAAGAAATAAAAGGCCAGGCAGACAAAAATGAGAGACGTACCCTACAAGACTATACTGAGCTTCTCGAAAAAGACAGCTTTACATTAAAATGGGCAAAAGGACTTGAACAGAAACTTCATTGCCTAAAGAAATATGCCAATGGTCAATAAGCTTATAAAATTTTGTTGGAGATCATGTCATCAGGGAAATGAAAAGCAAAGCCACAGGAGGCATGGGTGTTGGGGCGCAGTGAGTCAAGCTCCACCCACATCAGAGTGGGTGAGATGGAGTTCCAGCTCCTTGGCTGTTGATCCAGCTTCTTGCTAATGTGTCTGACAGTCAGCACATGATGGTCCAAGTACTTGTGTTCATAAAATGTACTGTCTTATCTATGGTGCCATCTATGCCCCTGAGGCTATCTTAGGCCCTACCCCACCCCCACCTCGGGGCATAGTAGGCTTTGGTCCTAAACCTCATGGTCCAACCAACATGTTAGCTTCACCCCACCCTAATGGGATTCGCTACCCCTACTTCCCTACCCATCCCCTGACAAAGGGATATTAGGACCCTTTTCCCGGGACACATGCTCTCTCTTTTTCCTTGTTTGCCCCTTCCCTCCCGTCTGTCGGGTTTCTTCCACCAATAAACCCAACCCTTTCCCCTTACTTCAATGTTTGGTGTGTTTTGTGGCGGCCTTACACTTGGATTCCTGTCACCCTCGTGGGAGACCCGGATGGCGTCCCTGGTTCTGGCTTCTCCTGGCCCAGCCCCAGCTGTTGTGGGGGCATTTGGGGAGCAAACGAGCAGATGCAAAATCTTTTGTCTCTTTGTGACTCTCTGCCTTTCAAAAAATAAATCTTTCTAAAAAACACAAGAGATTGATAAGATTGCTTTTTAAAACTACAAAGAATACTATTTCACAGCTACCAAGATGGTTACAATAAAAAACTAAGATAGTGTTGGCAAGGATGTGGAGAAGTCCATACATCATACCCTACCAGCAGGAATACAAAATGGCATAGCCATTTTGAAAAAAAGTCTGGCAGTTCTTTTAATGGTTTAACCACATAGACTGACCATGAATAACATCCTAGGTCTCTACCCGATAGAAATGAAAACATGGTTCTGTACAAAATCTGGTACACAAATGTTCAGAGCAACATTATTCATAATAGCCAATAGGTGGAAACAATCTTTTGCTAAATAGCAAACAAAATGTAGTACATTCATATAATATATTTATCGGGCTCAAAAAGGGGGGTTACTGATATGTGCTAGACATGGATGAACCATGAAAATTTGCTAAGTGAAAGAAACCAGACACAGTAAAACCAAGTGTTATACAATGCTGTTTGCACTAACTGCTCAGAATAGGTAAATCTCTAGACAGAAAGCAGAATAGTAATTGGCTAGGGCTGGATGTACTGGGCGGGCCGAATTGGAGGTGATAGCTACAATGGATGCAGGTTTCTTTCCTGGTGTGGTGAAAATGTTCTCTAAACTGGTTGCAGTAATGGGTACCCAACTCTGAAAATCCTAAAATCCACTAAAAAACACTTCTCGTGGGTGGATTACATGGTAGGTGATTAGAGCATCATAAGCAGCCAGGGCTTTTTCTGTGTGTCCTGCTCCGCTTTTTGGGGCCTCCATCTGAAGCTACACCAACTGAGCTCCAAAATTGCTGGTTCTTGACAGTTAACTCCCTCCTCAGCCAGCAACAAGCAGATGACAATGCCTACCTGGCAATGTTTGGTGATTTAAATGACACATACATAAGGGCTAACGATGTACACTATGGGTTACACAGGGGGCACTCCGTAAACAACATCGTGCGTGTGAACAGCCATGCTTGGGTTTTACACAGGAGCAGGGGGTCTGGGGAGTTTCAGAAGGAACCTGGTTTTAGACCTTGCCCCCTTGTCTAGCACAACAGTGCAGCCTCCGAATCCCAGAATCAAGTAAAAGTCCTGCACTCTTGAGCCTCGGGAAGCAAGGAACTGGACCGAAGGGAGTGGCAAGGCCGCGCTAACATGCAGAGGAACGCGCTTCGTAAATGGAGGCCAGGAACCCAGCCAGGACTGCCACTGTAGCACAGGTGCAGCAAATGAGCCACAGCCGCATCCCGCACCTCCCCGCCCGAGAACAATGCGCTCAGACCTGGGCGCAGAGCCTCGCGCGACCGCGCCCGGGGACGGGCCTGGCCCGGGGCCTGCCGGGAAATGCAGTTTGTAAAGCCCCGCCCGCGCCGCCCCGCCGCTCGCCGGCCGGGAGCCTTACGCAACTACAAGTCCCGTCACGCTCCGCGAGACCTTGCTCGCTCGGCTTTGCAAAAGGGAAGGGAGTGGGGACGAACATGGCTGAAGACAGCCGGGGTGGCCCAACGTGCAGCTGGATGGGGGACAGTCAGGACCCAGTCCCCGGCAGTGGCGGCTACAACTTTCCAGAGTACGAGATTCCCGAGGTTAACACGCGCGCTTTCCATGTGGGCACCATTGGGGAGCTGTGGCGTGGCCGGCTGCGCGGGGCCGAGGACTTGTCGCTGAAGGAGCCGCGGGCACCGGAGCTGCCTGGGTGCCCAGGGAACGCTGCCTCCGATCCGGGGGATGCCGCGGTGGCCCGGGATCTGGACTGCAGCCTGGAGAAGGCGGCCGAGCTGAGGGCGGTGTGCAGGTGAGTGCAGGGTCAGGCGGTCCTTGCAGCTTGGGGCCCGTCGGGAGCCTTGCTCCCGAGCTCCCTGGGGGATCCCTCTCTGGGAGGGCCTGCGGTTCAGACCCGGCGTAGGAGGACCGCCCTTCCAAAGCGTTCCACACGCTGGAACCTTCCCGGAACTCGGGGACAGGTCCTGGCATCCGAATGCTCAAAATCTCTGCGAGTTGGAGTGAAAGAAGGAGACAGCTGCATAAAGGCTAACGTTTCCATTCGCCCGTCTATAAAGTGCTTGTTAATGAAGAGCAGCGGTCTGGGTAACACGACGTGTCCCTGCCATTGACACTTCGACAATGGAGGAGCAGCGGAATGATGAGGCTGGAGGAGACTTAACGCGAGGACTGTTAAAACCTTGCTTAACTCTGACCTTTTGAGGGACGTCCGAGGGATGCTGTTACTGCCCCCCAAAGTGGATTGTTTGGGGTGCAAATATAAACATAACTTTTAGTGACCTTTCGTCATTTAACAGTACTGGTCGTCTTCAGTCGGCCGTGTATCCCTTTCAATATGCACTGACGGCACAGAAATCATTGCGGTGGATTGTAGCCTCTCCTCTGAGCCGCCTCCTGGGTTTTGTCTGACTTCGTAATTATTCGGTGATGTGTTTAGCACACAGCCCCAGCTCGCAGTGGACAGGATGCACGTGCGTCGTTGAAGCAGCGCTTTCCCTTTTTTGTTCTAGCCTTGATAAACTGAAGTGCCTAGAGGAAGGTGAGGATCCGGAAGTCATCCCGGAGGACACGGAGCTGGTGACGTTAGGGTATGCCTGACTTTTTTTTTTTAAGGTGACACTGGTTGAAGCATTTTTTTTTTTTTAACATTGTGTTTTGGAAAGTTGAAACTATAGTGTCGTTACCCTTGCATTCACACCTTAAATACAACTGTTGTTAGCATTTGGCCATACTAACTTCAGCTGTGTCTGTGTGAGCTGACTGCTCTGTCCTATTCACTTGCTGTGCCATTCATTAAGTTGCACCTGGCGTGATATTTCACCCCAAATACATCAGCATGTCACTCCTAAAAGTGCCATTTTCTTGCATAATCAGCACCTAGGAAAATTCACGATAATTTGATAGCCTCTGCTATCTAACCCATATTCAAATTCATGTTATTTTTGAATGTGCATTTACAAAGGTAGAGTTAATTTGGGGTGCAAGGTAGTAAATACTTGGATAGTGTTTCTCAGACTACCTGTGGTAAAGAACCAGTTCTTTGATTTTTAAAAATGTTTAGTCTTTGACACATCCATACTTTTTAAAATACTGTTAAGATTATTTATTAGAAAAATGGTATTAAAAACACAAGTGCACTTTTTTATTAAATTTAACATCAAATGATTGTCAGCTTACACTGAAAGCTTCTAAATGCTTACTTTCATCTTTCCTGTACATGTTGGATAATAACTAGTTCAGAAATTGGTTCCAGTCTGCCATCCACACTCTGAGATGCTGAAGTATACTATAGAAAATTGTGTGTGTTGTGATGAAATTTATAATTTCCTGTTTGCGAGCCACTTAGTTCACACCAGCGGAGCTGTTTCTGTCCTCCTTGATCCTCTCCTTTCTATTGTTCCCGCAGATACTCAGGCACTCACTTTGCCTTTGTTTTCTTTTGCTGTAACTGCCAAATCTGTTCCCCTGATCTACATTGCTAACATTTACATTGGCAGCTCTGGCTTCTGCCTTGCTTAAGTCCAGTCTTCTGTCCTTTTAATTTATCTATCATGTTATCACCTAAGCATGCTGTTTTGTTTAGATACTGTCAATGGTGCCCATATGGAAAAATTGTTAACTCCTCAGCTAGACATTTGAAGCCTTCCAGGTACCTCCCAAATCTTCCCTTCCAGATTTATTTTCAGTCAATTACTGTTTTAAATGGCTCAGGCTGTTCATGGCCTCTTCCATCTGAAACCTACCCATCTTTTAAAAATATTTAGGGGTGGCGCTGTGGTGTAGCAGGTAAAACCGTGCTGCCTGCAGTGTTGGCATCCCCGTTTGAGTCTCGGCTGCTACACTTCCGATCCAGCTCTCTGCTATTGCTTGGAAAAGCAGTAAAAGATAGCCCAAGTTTTTGGGCCCCTGCACCCACTTGGGAGACCCAGAGGAATTTCCTGGCTCCTGGCTTCAGATTGGTGCAGCTCTGGCTGTTGTGGCTGTCTGGGCAGTGAAATCGGGTGGAAGGCCTCCCCACCCCCCACCCCCTCTGCCTATCTGTAACTCTGCCTTTCAAATATATAAATAAATATTTTAAAATATATATTTATTTGAGAGGCAGAGAGAGAGAGTTCCCATTGCTGGGTCACTTCCCAAATGCCTGCAACAGCTGGAATGAAAGCTGGGAACTGGGAAGTCGACCTAGGTCTCCCATGTGGGTGGCAGTGGGTGACAGTGGGTGGCAGAAAGCTGGAATCAGGAGTGGAGGCAGGACTGAAACCCACACCCTCTGATACAGGATGCGGGAGTCCCACATGGTGTCTTTACCACTGGGCCAAATGTCTACTCTGAAACTCATCTTTGAGATTCCTTTCCAGCTTACTGCAACCCACCTGTTCCTTAGGAAGCAGAAGTGGTTGTACTACCTTGAGCTCTCACATTTCTGAGGTCCTTGAAAGCTCCTTGAGAGTCCAAACTCTGCTGGACTTGTGTGCATTGCTCCGGTTGGTGCTCTCTAGTGCCGATTGATAGTTATTTGGCTTTGTCTAAAATGCATACCTGATTGTATTACTCTCTTGCTTAAAACCTTTTGTTGTCCCTTTGGCTAAAGACCTGAGTTCCTAAGTGGCTCACAGAGGCCTCAATGGAGTGGACCGTGCTGATCTTCGGCGCTGTGGAAGCTCTCTCTCTGGGGCTTTGCCTGGAGTGCTCGCTCTTCCTTATCCCCTTGGCCTTGCTAATTTCTACTCACCCTTTAAGTCCTAGCTAAAGAACTCCGGACTCCATCTAGGTCCCCTTGTGTGTTCCTGTGGTACCCCGTGCTTCTCTATGGAAATACTCATCACATTTAAATTGTACTTGTATGATTTTCTGTCTTGTAGATAACTCAAAATTCCCATACTATATCTTTCATACTCACTGCTATATTCCTAGTTCCTAGAACTGGGACACACAATAGGGAGTCAATAAATAGTTGTGGAATGAGCAGAAAAATAAAGCTTTCATAGACTGAGGTACGTTTGTGATAACCATAAACAAGCAAACTCATTTTTGCCCTAGTTAATAACATGTTAATTGGCTTGCAATGATTTTATTAAGCCATGTTAGATAGTAATTTTAAGACTGTTTACCACATTGCTCACTTTGACTGCTTCCCACTACTTAGTCAACTGGATGTCCTTCGTTGCCTTCTCATCCTTCCAAATACAGGATATGTGGGTAGAATTAGATCTATAATCTAATGTAAAAGGATTCAATACAGCATTCCTTAGCTGGGATTGTTTTTGATGTACTGTGAAGTTGTTGTCTTTAAAACATGACTAATGTTAATCTCATTGATCCTAAAAAAGAAAATTAGACTGGTGGCAAAAGTCTAAATCTATATCACTATGCTTTCTCTTTTCTAAACACCTGTAACATGAAAACAAGACCTAAACATGTGATCCTTTATTATGACAAGAACATTTCTGGTTCTCTTTTCTTTTCCCTGACAACTGAGAGAGTCAACCATGAGGTTGACTCATTTTGTGTAGGTAAGGGGAAAAAGGTGGTTGGTAGAAGTCTCTAGTAGTATTCTTTTCATGTATCCATGGCAAGCTAGATAACACTTTTAGCACTCTTGAACATTTTTGACTACTTCAGTAATAGATTTTATTTCCTAGAAGTAGAATAGAGAATTGCTACTACTGTTGTGCTGCTGAAATTTATCTGTCATCCCGGGGCCGGCGCTGTGGCGCAGCAGGTTAATACCCTGGCCTGAAGTGCCAGCATCCCATATGGGCGCCGGTTCGAGTCCCAGTTGCTCCTCTTCCAATCCAGCTCTCTGCTATGGCCTGGGAAAGCAGTACAGAATGGCCCAAGTCCTTGGGCCCCTGCACCCACATGGGAGACCCAGAAGAAGCTCCTGGCTCCTGGCTGCAGAAGGGTGCAGCCCCAGCTGTTGCAGCTGTCTGGGAAGTGAACCAGCGGATGGAAGGCCTCTCTCTCTGTCTCTACCTCTCTCTGTAACTCCGTCTTTCAAATAAATAAAAAATAAATCTTTTTATTTATTTATTTATTTACTCTCTAACACTACCTCTCAAATAAATATATAAAATCTTAAAAAATAAAAAAAAAAGTAATGTTGAAGCTTTTGGGATGACAGATAGATTTTTTCAAGATTTATTCTTGGCCGGTGCTGCGGCTCACTAGGCTAATCCTCCGCCTAGCGGCGCCGGCACACCGGGTTCTAGTCCCGGTCAGGGCGCCGGATTCTGTCCCGGTTGCCCCTCTTCCAGGCCAGCTCTCTGCTGTGGTCCGGGAAGGCAGTGGAGGATGGCCCAAGTACTTGGGCCCTGCACCCCATGGGAGGCCAAGATAAGTACCTGGCTCCTGCCATCGGATCAGCGCAGTGCGCTGGCCGCAGCGCACCAGCCGCGGCAGCCATTGGAGGGTGAACCAACGGCAAAGGAAGACCTTTCTCTCTGTCTCTCTCTCTCACTGTCCACTCTGCCTGTCAAAAAAAAAAAAAAACTTACTGCAAGAAAATCAGAAAGCAACTGTTCATACAAATTGGCTTGGGAGACTACCTCCCTTCCCCTAGAAAATAACTAGGAAACAGAAGTAAACCTGGACTCCAAACATTGTTGAATATGCTCACACAAGTATTTAATGGTGTGGAGATTCCTTAGGTTAGAAACTTTAAAGCCGAAAAAGTAATTGATTAAAAAAGAAATGATGAGAGCAGGTGTTTGGTGCAGAAGTTAAAACATGGTTTGGGACACCTGCATTCCATGTCAAGAATTCCTGGGTTTGAGTCCCACCTCTGCTTCTAATCCAGCTTCCTACTCATAGAAAAGCAGCAGGTGATGGCTCAGGTTTGTGGTTCCCTGCCATCCACCTGGGAAAACTAGATGGAGGTCCAGGTTCCTGGCTTCAGCCTGGTCCCATCCCAGCGGTTTTAGGCAATAGATGGAAGATCTCTCTCTGCCTTTCAGTAAAAATGAGAATTAAGAAAGAAGGGGTAGGGGAGGTTAAAGGAAAGAAATGAAAGAATAACACAAAAGTATCTCACAAGCAAAAAAATTGTGAGACATGCAAGGTAGAATAAACTCAAGTAGAAATTTAATAAGAGGTGGGGCTGGCGCTGTGGCACAGCAGGTTAATGCCCTGGCCTGATGTGCCGGCATCCCATATGGGTGCCAGTTCGAGACCCGGCTGTTCCACTTCCAATCTAGCTGTCTGCTATGGCCTGGGAAAGCAGTAGAAGATGGCCCAAGTCCTTGGGCAACCCTGCACCCATGTGGGATACCCAGAGGTTCCTGGCTCCTGGCCTTGGGTCAGCTCAGCTCTGGCTATTGGGGACAATTGGGGGAGTGAACCAGCAGATGGAAGACCTCTCTCTCTTCCTCTCTCTCTCTTTTTCTGCCTCTCCTTTCTCTGTGTAACTCTTTCAAATAAATAAATCTTTAAAAAAAAAAAGTTTAATAAGAGGCAATGAAGAAAGGCATGACAACATCTAAGAGAACTGGAAACTAAATAAAAAAAATGAGTTAGGGAAAGCATTAGGAATGGAAGAAAGGCAAAGAAGATAAAATAGTTATATTATCAGAGTCCCTGAAGAATAAAA